TGGACAGCAGGGAGGGGCCTTGAGTCAGGATAGGGGAGGTGGATCAGATGCGCTGCTCACAGAACCGGCCATCCCGGAATAAGGGTTCTCTCCCTTCTCTGCATTTTCTCCCAGAGTTCTAGGGTCAGCCCTGTTAGCAGCCAGTTAAACCCTCCCTCGGTTCTCAGCAGGCCCGTCTGAGGCACGATGTGGCGCCCATAGTTTCCCCCTGCTCGGCAGAGGCTGAAAGGCCAGCACTGAGGCCAATGATGGAGGGAAAGGGCTCAGAGGCTTGGCCTCTTATTCCTTTTTTTCGAGTTGTGTGGGGTCTTACTGTGTGCTGGCTACTTCCTGCTGGCAGGCCCAAGCTGGTCCCAAGGATGACATCCCGAGAACAGAAGGCCTTTCCAGGGGTACTCTGCATGGATGGGGCAGTGCATTACACAAATGGCCCAGCTTCACCCCTCTCCCTGGAGTCTCTTTCCCCACCCCTTGAATCTGGGCAGGCCGTGTGATGTGCCCTGGGCACTAGAATGTGGCAGAAGCCCACTCCTGCCAGTGGGCAGCACCAGCAGCAAACCAGCGTGCAGGAGAAGAGAGGAGGGGGGTGGCTGCTCCCCTCCCGCCCTGCCCTGGCTGCCCTTCCTCCAAGCTCGAAGCACCACCACACTCAGAAGAAGCATTTCCTCTCTGGCGCATTAGCACAGAGGGTGGTGTCTTAGGCAGGGTTCCCGGAAGCAGAGGGAGAGATGGGGATCCGAGTGAATGCGCTGTATTAGCAAGTGCTCCCGGGAACTCCACGGGGGGAAGGGGGAAATGAGACTAGTAAGGGAAGGAAGCCCAGTAGAAGCAGGAGGAAGGGACCCCCTCCCCAACCCCACTGCCTGTCAGTCCTTGGCCAAGGGCCACCCCAGGGGACACTCCTGGCTCTCCGTCCGCAGTGGCAAAGCTGGATGGTAAGGCAGCCAGCACTCTGGTAGAGAGACCCAGGTGCTGGAAGCAGGACTGAGCTCACAGGACTCATGGGAATCCTCACGCAGGATACCCCTCATCCTCCTTTTGTTTTCCCAGTCTAAGCAGTCACTGAGGGGAGCAGGAAGGAAGCTTTCATGTAATGTCTCCAGAATAATGCAGCCTCACACAAGGAGCAGAAGGAATGGGTGTCTCTGAGCAGTTTCTCCCATCTGCACTGGAAAAGGCGCAGGAGTGCAAACACAGAGTGCTAGGTCACCTTCTTGAGGTGTGGAGAAAATGCATACCTCTAAATCATTCTGCTACAAATACGTGTTAGATTTGAACTGACCTATTATAGCAAGGGGCCCTGGGGTAAAGTCCTGGCTCTTCTGCTTTCTAGCTGTGCGACCTTAGGCTGGTTATTTAACATCTCAGTGCCTCTGTTTTATCATCTGCAAAATGGGGATAACAACAACAATAATAATAATAATTACCACTTCATAGAGTAGTTGAATCAAGTGAATTAACATATGTAGAGCATTTAAATCACACTCTACCTGAAATAAGCAATCAGTGCAATGCAAGTTCTAGCTGTCATTATTAATCATCAGAACAGTCTGCCCTTAAAGGAAGGGAAATCCACAACAGGGGGAATATATGTATAGCATAGCTGATTCACTTTGCTGAATAGCAGAAAATAACACAACATTGCAAAGCAAATATACTCCAATAAAAACTTAAACAAAAAGAATAGGGGAATTCCCTGGCAGTCCAGTGGTTAAGACTCCCTGCTTCCAATGCAGGGGACATGAGTTCGGTCCCTGAGCAGGGAACTAAGATACAACACGCTGCTTGGTTGCATGCTTTGGTTCAACCAAAAAAAAAAAAAAACCCCAAAGTATAGCCTCTTTTAATTCTGAATGTTCATTTTATAAATAGTTTTCTTCTTCTTTAAAATGGTTTTGGATGGGCAGACAAAACTTTCTTTCCTAAACAAATAAAAGTTTCTACTCTTCCCTGAACTGGTAAGGGAAAGACATGACATAGATGGATTGTGAGGCGGGACTCTTAAGGTGACCTCTGGCTTGGGCTGAGGATTCGAAGGCTGAGCACACAGCAAGACCTGTGCTTTCTTACAGCTTAGCTCTGTCAGTGCTAGAACACAATGCCAAGAACAAAAGTGGAGGTGGGGTAGCGCTTATCCGTGGAATCGCAGGGGTGTGTGGCTGCCCCCTCCCTGGGCCTGTGAGTTATGCCCAGCAAGCTTATTCTGCTTCCTTCATATTCATTCAAGACGCTGCAGGGCTGCAGTGATCTCTGCAGAGAGGCAGTGTACGGAGACGTTCGCAGTGCTTATTGATTTAGTAATTCGCACGCGCTTTTCCGGATAGATGATCTTCCCGGAGACTCTGACAGCAACAGCCAGCTGCTAATGTGATGCGGGGCTGCAGGCAGGGTTGTGGGGGTGCAGCCGGGTGGTGGCAGGGAAGGAGAGAGGCCGGGAGGCCAGGGGAGGGTGACAGGAGGTGGGAGAGGCTTGTTCAGGGCCAAGCTGCAGACACCTGGCACAGGTACCAGGAGGTGGAGGCAGGGCAGGCCAGCTGCTTTAGGATTCACATCTCTGGGTCATTTTTGCGTTCTAGTTTTCCTTCCTCTCTACCTTACCTCATTGCCTCGGTCATAGACTCACCCAAGATAAGTGACTATCACATGTGTCACTGGGCATCAAGAACGCCAAGAGGGAAGCAGCGACAGATGGCCCCGCTCCAGACTGCCTGTCTCTCAGTCTTAGGGGAGATGTCCATTCATTCATCCATTCACTCACTCAGTTATTACTTATCAAACACCTACGAGGAAACCAATACTTTAGATAGATAGATAGGTAGATAATAGGCAGGTACATAGCTAGTCACTACTGGGTTTCTTTTCACACTGACACCTCATTGAGTGCAGAGAACAGTTCTATCCCCCCAGGACCTTTTCCCCAGGGCCCACGAGTAGTGCTGACCATCAGCACTGTAAGTGCAGAGACAAGAGAGATGCTTATGAGGTGTTTTATATATATATATATATATATATAATGGGAGCCCCATGAATGCCACAGCACCTAAGCTTGACCTTGAAGAAATCATGAGCTCGGGGTTGGTCCACAGTGGGCTACCTAGACCATGTCCTCTGTCAAACCCTGGGACTGGAAGCAGGCAGGACATTTTGAGGGTCATGGGGAGACAGGTCCAACCAGAGCGCCCTTAGAAAAGGCATCTCTTCCTCTCTCCACAGGCCAGCCCACCGAGGACTCATTCATTTGTTCCCCCTCTTGCTCAGATAGACTGTGGTGGGGAGGGCTTCCTGGTTACCAAGCCCCTTTGGCCAAGTATGCCTGGACCTCTAAGCCTGAGGCTCCCAGGTTCGTGCTGTGCTTTCAGGACCGACTCCTTCCACATGTGCTTCTGCGGTCCCCAGAGGGCATCTGGGTTGTGGCTCACCCAGAGCTGACTGGTGGTCCGCCACTGTTCTCCCACCCTGACCCGCAGCCTCTGCCCACATCCTCACAGGCTATGCACTGCTTGCCCTGCTTCCCATTTCGGGATCAGTTAGGGTCCTTCGAGGAGTCAGGAAGCACCAGGTATTTGAACAGAGAGAATTTACTATGAAGAATTTTTTTTTAATGACTTAATGGGAATCTTCATTTTCCTCCAGTTTTACTGAGCTATAACTTACATATAACATTGTATGGAAGAACTGTTCATTGTAACATTAAGAAGGTACTGAGAGGTAGCAAGTGCAAGAAGCAGCTATCTCCCCTCTGGCTGGGGGCACCAAGGCAAGAGATTGGAATTATTAAAACATTTAGGAGCTTGGAAGGGGTACCTGGCAGAGCTGGGACCCCGGTATCTTGGGAGGAGGCATAGGAGCAGCAAGCGGTGTCCTGAGCTCAAAGACTGCCTGTCCCTGGGGCTGAGACCTGGACTCTGAGAGGGCACGGCAGACAGCTTGTGCAGTGTCTCTGGCCTGGGAGTGAGCAACGCAGCTAGATTTGGAAAATGGGAAAACTGCAGTGTGGATTTAGAGGCTGCTTTGGGAAAGAGCTGCTGGTGCTGAGAAGCAGCAGGATTGAGAGGCACTGCTCATGGGAGCAGAAGACAGGGACGAGCATCCTTCTCCTACAACCTTCCAGTCTCTCCAGCGCCCCCTGGTGGCAGAGCCTATCAGGGATGTTGGCAAAGTAGAAAGGTGGTTTCCAAGTTTGCGGCAAAGGAGACAAAAAGTAGGGGAAGTGTTAGTCGCTCAGTCCCCTCCGACTGTTTGCAACCTGTGGACTGTAGCCCCCCAGGCTCCTCTGTCCATGGGATTCTCCAGGCAAGAATACTGGAGTGTGTTGCCATTCCCTTCTCCAGGGGATCTTCCCGACCCAGGGATCTAACGTGCGTCTCCTGCAGGCAGGGTCACCAGGGCAAAGGAGAAGTGTGGGGCCCAGCATCACTGAGCCGGAGCTCACGCCAGCGCCCTCGGTGTCCTCTTGCTGACAGCACCACACAGGACCCCCAAAGAGGTCTATGATGATGGGAAGTATGCTATCTCCTGTTTCGTGCAAAGAGCTACTGCACAGCTCTTCCATTATTCACTGCTCTGACCAGGACACAGATGTGAACCCACAAGGGTGGGTTTATGCAGATGAGAGACAGCAGGGATGGAAGTCATGTAATACGAAAAGCTTGTAATGAAATAGGAATGCCGACTGGAGAGAAATCATCCTTCCAAGCAAATTGACTTCTGGAGAAACCTTCTACCAATTGGCAGAGACCACTGGAATTCCAGTGGTGGACACTGCTCAGGGCCAAGGTGAACCCCATAACACCCCAACGACACCATGAGGCGAGAGTTGCCTTTCCCATTCTAGAGCCAGAGAGCCTGAGGCACAAAGGAATCAGCTTGTCAGACAAGGGGAGGTGTTAGCAGAACTCCTAAGCTCTTAGCAGGATGGTTACTCGACCTGCTGGTCCCAACAAAGGAGAGTGGGGAACCTGCAGGGGTTCAATCAGGTTTCAAGTTCAGGCCAGCCCCACCCGTGCACCCCTATCTGACTCCAGGCAGGGCTGTTTCTCCTTCCACACCACCCAGGCTGGGAAGCTGAGGGCATGAACAGGCTGGGTCCCGTAAGGGGCTGCTAATTGCTCTGATTGCAACTCCAGGGCAGAGTGTTTCTGGAACTGCCAAACTCTAACAGAGGAGGAAATACCAGCGGAACATTTTTGATGAATAATTCAGTGAGCTGAAATGGGAAATGAGAGTTTTCTCTCCACTAAAGTGGAATTTGAAAAAAGAAAAGAAAAAGCAAAAACAATAATAGCAGCAAGGCTCATCATTCTGGTTTCCCCACAGTAAAACTTTCTCTTTGCATAACCATGAGGGATGGCTCACTATGATTTGCTCTCGACAATCTATAGGACCTGAGCCAAGGTAAGAAAATACTTGGGTCACCTGGGGTTGATGGTATGTTTGATATCATCACTGCCACCTTCCCTTTCAAGCATTTATTCTACAAATATTAACTGTACAAGCACCCAAAACCAAGCACTGTTCTGGGTGTTAGAGATCCTGTAGTGAAGATAATAGACATTGTTCTTTTTTTCATAGAGTATGTGGGAGGGGGAGAGGGAGGTAGTCAGATAGTAAATTAAAAACACATAGCAGTTGAGGGACTTGCCTGGTGGTCCAGAGGCTAAGACTCCATGCTCCCAATGCAGGGAGCCTGGGTACCATCCCTGATCAGGGATCTAGATCCTGCATGCTGCAACTGAAAAACCAAAAAAAGATCCCATGTGCCGCAACTAAGACCCAACACAGAACAAAACAAAACAAAGACACAGCAGTCAATACATTTCTATCTATAATTTGAGATGCATGCTTTATCAGTCAGGGTTCAACCAGGGAAGAGAGAAGCCACTCAGTGTATACAGATCAGAAAGAACTGAATGCAGGGGATTTGTTACTCATGTGAGTGATGGAAATGCTGAGAAATCTAGGACAGTGAAGGAATCCAAAGATTATCAGCCGCACGAAGCCATTCAACAGAGGGTCAGAGAGAAGGTGGGGCGGGGGGTGTTGTCAGAGTCCAGAACCTGGGGCCATTTGGGAGAGGGAACCAAGATAGGAGCTGCCCAAGGAGGACTGGGACTATGGAATGAGTATATGCCTAGTACTAATGGAAGACACAGGGAAACTTCAATCTTTGGACATATAGAGAAATCGATGCCAAAAGCGAAGGGAGAAAATCCAACCTTGCCCCCTCCTCCTGCCTTTCTGACATCCATCAGTACCTCCCAAAGGCTGAGCCTCTGTAGAAGTCAGGAAGCAAGGAAGTCTGGGAAATACAGTTCACAGGCGTCAGGCCCCTAGAGGTAAGAGTGGGGTCAGAGGAAGGATCGGGGGGTGGATCTGAGAACAAACAGTCCTGGGGAAAAAAACCAGCAATCATTCTCTGAAGGAAAAGAACAGGATCTCACGGGGAGAATTAAAGGGATAGTGTTTTGACGTGGATGATGGTGGAAGGCCTCATTGAGGCAGTTAGGTTGAAACATAAAAGATGACGAGGAGGTGGTCAAGCAAAGTGTGTGTGGTCAGGAGAGGATGAGCTTTCCAGATAGGGGCAAAGGCCCTGAGGCCAGCTGCAGATGGTAGTAAAGGGGAGCATATGGAGAGTTGAGAATGGAGATGTCATCGGGCCAGGTGATTTGGGATTTCAGAGAAGGAAAAATTCACAAGCAATTGCTTTCAATAGAAAAGAGATTTTGACACCTCAGTGTTCATTACAGCACTGTTTACCGTAACCAAATAAGGGAAGTAAACTAACTGTCCATCAACACAGGAATGGATAAAGACATAGTACCTGTATGCAATGGAATATTACTCAGCCATTAAAAAGAATGAAATAATGCCATTTGCAGCAACATGGATGGACCCAGAGATTGTCATACTGAGTGAAGTCAGATATAGAAAGAGAAATATCATATTATATCCCTTATATGGGAAATCTAAAACAAAATGATACAAATGAACTAATTTAAAAAGTAAAACTCACAGACTCAGATTATGAAGTTATAGTTACCCTGGGGACGGGATAATCAGGGAACTGGGGATCAACATGGACACACTGCTATATGAAAACGGAGAGCCGACCAAGGCCTCATGTTCTGTGGCCGCCGGGATGGGAGGGGGTTTGGGGGAGAAAGGATACGTGAATCTGTATGGCTGAGTCGCCTTGCTGTCCGCCTGAAACTATCATATTGTCAATTGGCTATACCCCAATATTTTTTTTTTAAAAAAAGAAAAGAGGTTTTGAAAGCTTTTTGAAAAACTCACGTAGTGTGTGTTCACGTCCAGACAAAGCAAAAACTAAAAACTTCCCAAACATTCCAGGCATACATAAACAGATTTTCTTTGTGAATGCTGTATTCATGGCAGTTCTCTCAGAACAGATAAAGCTACGCCCTGACAGAATCTGTGAAGAAATATTTAATACAGTAGACTGATTTTTCTGGATTAGGTTTTCCCAGATCCCCTAGATGACAATCTATGAAAATGAGTAAAAATTCCTGACTCCGTTTCCGCCTCTGCTACCAACATGACTTGTTTCCATCCCCTTCTCTCACCTCTTATGGGACCCCATCAGACTTATTTAAATGCCTGTGAAAGTGTGACTTGTTTTAAATGCATTTAAAACCACACTTGTATGCACAGTTAATCTTATTTTGTGCTTCTCATGAATATATTTTAATCTATCGTGCATTTTAATGAGATGGAATTCTTAGGAATAGACTGTTCCATAAACTGCCACCTTCCTTGGGGCCTAGCACCATGTCATGAAGGTACATATGCATGCAATTTTTATGAGTAATAGTTCAGTAGATTGATGTTTGGTTCATTTTTTAATTCAATGTTTTAAACTGTGTAGCCAGTTTAATGTTAATTGATATGGGTGTTAAAAAGATATTAGGAAGTTCTATTTCTGGCCATGATGAAGTAACTGGGATCAGACTTATCTTCTCACTGTTAAGAACTATGAAACTGAACAAAATATTCAAGGCAACAGTTTTCAGACATTAGGCAACACTCATCTCTGAGAAAAAGATCAAACAAAATGAGCCTCTTATCACCCTGGGTTTCTGTCTGGAGGTGCTTTCTGCAGAGAAGGGAATCCAAGCAGAACAGCACTCTTTCCCAGTTGAAGAGACAGGGGTTGCCATTCAGAAAAGATGAAGGGGCTGGAAACTCAAGACACGGCACTGGACAGAGAGATTCTGCTTAAATAAATAGCTCCAGAAAAATGTACAAGGATCCCCTGTATCTGTTGCTGATTGTTAAATCACATAAACAGAGAATGAAGACCCACAAAGCTATGGAAAGAAAAATCAGGGAGCTGTAAGCAAAACAGTTTACAGAGCTGAGAGATGATCAAATTTTGATCCGCTTTTATAAAGAATGTCTCAGCTTCTCGGGTCTTTGTGTGGAGACTCCAAGTGAGTCACATCTTAGTAGCAGCACTAACTAATCTTAGGATTAAACCTGTTTATGACCCACACTAGGCTTTCCCTGGTGGCTCAGTAGTAAAGAATCCATCTGCCAATGTAGGAGACACAGGTTCGATCCCTGGGTTGGGAAGATCCCCTGGAGAAGGAAATGGCAACTCACTCCAGTAGTCTTGCCTGGAAAATCCCATGGACAGAGGAGTCTGATGCACTACACAGTCAGACAGTCAGACACAACTTAGCAACTAAAGAACAACATGACTCACCCTAAGAAAATCAAAAAGCTTAAAAACAAACTTCAGAAGGAAGTAACTTCCCTGCCTGCCATAAAAAGGTTCCTGCATGCTCAGTCACTTCAGTTGTGTCTGACTCTTAGGGACCCTGTGGACTGTAACCCGCCAGGCTCCTTTGTCCATGGGATTCGCCAGGCAAAAATACTGGAGTGGGTTGCCTTTCCCTCCTCCAGGGGATCTTCCTGACCCAGGAATCAAACCCATGTCTCCTGCATCTCCTGCATTGCAGGCAAATTCTTTACCCACTGAGCCACCTGGGAAGCCCAGAAAGGTCCATTGCTTTTTAAACAAAATTCAGCATTCAACAATGTAAAGGTCAAAATGTACACCATCCAGCGTGAAACTTACTAGATATATGAAGAAACAAGATAGTGTGACCCAAAGTCTGGGAAAAATTCATTGGAAGTAGGCTTGGAGGGATAGTGATGGTGGAATTAACAGCAAGATCTTTAAAACAATTACCTCAAATGTTTTCAAGGATTCCCGGGAAGGAAGCCTGTGTCCCCAGTGACTATGAGGCCACTGTGCCAGCTCTGATCTGGGGTCTTTAGACTTGATTTAAGTGACATAAATAAGTGAATCCCCTGTTTCATCTATGATGCTATTCTTTGGACTTTCTGTTATATAACGCCAAATCTAATTTTCATCGATAACCTTCATCTTTTCCATAGGTGTATCTCCAAGGCCTTAGAATAGCACCTGGCTCCTTGTGGAAACGCCACTAGTGTTTGTTGAGTGAAAGAGTGAGATCCAACCTCCCTGTGTAACAGAGAAGGGCACTGAACCCAGGGAAAGGAAACAACATGCCCCTGTCACATAGCTGGTAAGGGACAAGCATGAGATCATGCCCACATGCCTGCTTTTCCCTGTCTCCCATGGCACCATGGCTGGGACAGAAGAAAGCCACCCACTCATCACTTCCATGGCCCCACCTGCCCCTTCTCTACCCCCAGTGCATCTAGCTTGACGCTCTCTCCACACCTGTTATACCAACTTGGTTGAGGGGCACAGTCTTCTAAGGACGCTGTGGCAACAGCAGCATCCAGACTGCCCTGCTCACCTGCTTGCCAGGACCCACATAACTCTACCACGCTGGCCATGAAGCTTCCTCTCGGTCCTTGGTCCCCATCCTCCCCGGATTCTGTCTTTCTGGCAGGATGCACCATAAGGTACAGAGTACTCCCACCATTCAAGGGGCCCAGCCATGGGCTCGGAAGTGGCACCCTGCCCACACACCTGGGGCACCAGGGACATGATGGGGAATGCCACCTTATCCTCATGCCTACTCCGGAGCTGCCCTCTAACTGAGTTGCCCCTAAGAAGTCCAATCTCTTGCTCCCTGCCGGACAGCATGACGTGTTGGACAGAGGGACGTCGTGATGTCCTTAGATAAGCTCTTCTTCTTAAGCCCCATCCTTCTATACCCAGGCATGAGAGAGAGAATTTAGGTTCTTGCCTATCATCCATTCTTTTGTATACTCTTCCTTTCCTACAGTTCCTAGGTCTAAGTTATTATGGGAGCCACTTAAGACTGAAGGCGAACGTGGGCCACATTAATTCACAGCAACTCAGCTGATTTTCTCCCTGACTGGCAGAATACAAGATGGTAGCAGTAATAATACTACTGGTAATAACATCTGCTAGCACTTACAATGTTTATGCAACTCCAGGCATGGTGCTCAGTGTTTTACATAGATAATCTCATTTAATGTTTGCAATAACCTGTTGAGGCAGGCACCATTTTCAGACCGCCAGCATAATTTCCATTTCATAGGGAAAAAAAAATGAGGCTCACAAAGGTTAAGTAAGTAACTTGCCAAGGCCACAGTCAATAAGAGGAAGAGAAGAAATTTACTGTCGAGGCTGACCTCTTACTTCTGTGTGATATCATCTCTCTGTGAGGGGAATCTGTGAGCTCCAACATCCTTATTACCCCCAGGAAAGAGAACATAATCCTCTGCTTTTCTCCATTCATTCATTCTACCTTTACAGAATACCCACCTATGGTGGGTCCCATGCTAAATGCTGGAGATTTAAAGACACCTACTTCGTTATTCCCGTGATGAGTTCATTATTGTGCATTTATAGCTTGTACTCATTCTTCTCCTCCTCTACCTTGGGGGCAAGATACCTCCTTGTCTCACTGAGTTGGGACATGCCCAGGTGACTTTCCTTGGTCAGAAAAACATGAGTGGGTGTGATGTGAGCAGAAGTTTTGGGTGCCCTCGTGGACGGTTTTCTCCTGAGCTCCCACCATTCACTATGAAAAGAGCATGCTCCAGGGATCTCAAGCCACTGGTTTCAAGGAGATGCAAGATACATGGAGCAGACCTGGATTCAACCTGCAGTGTGTAGCCAAAGCCAGCTGACCTGCAAAACTAAAAAAGAAAAAAAGCAAACTTGTTTTGAGAACTGACCTTTCAGGGTGGTTTCTTACTCAGCATTACTGCAGCAATAGCTGACTGGTGTAGTTCCTGCTGTCATGGAGCTCACAGATGAATGTGGAACATGAATAGCCAATTATAACCCACTGTAATGACAAAATGGACTGGAAGGACCTAGAGAGTGCCCTGTTGCACAAAGGAGGGCTCCCACTCCAGCCCAAAATAACCTGAGAAGAGAGAAATGACCCAGGAGGAAGCAGGCCCTGTTTGCCTGAAGGAGAATGCAGGATGCTCAGAAAGCTTACAGCAAAGACCATGAGCTGGCTTGGGGGTCAGGGAGGCTTTGATGAAGAAGCATCACTCATCTCAGACTTGATTAATAAGTGGAAATAATTAGGAGAAGGTGTGTGAGCTGGAGAATAATTCAGGGGGAAGTCCAGGGGCACAGTGTTGGGTGTTGAGAGAAGGGGGAAGAAACTTACCTAGGACATTCAGTACTGGCCTCGGCAGTGAGGACAAAGACCTGCACCCAGAAACCCAGCAAGGTGGCACCTTACAGAGAGAACAAGGCCAGATGCCCTGAATAAGGAGAAGTGTAGATGGATCAAAGCAGAGGCCGATGTTGGACTCTTCAGACTCAAGTGCTGCTCCACAAACTCAACTTCCTCCACCATGGCAGGTTTCCTTTCTCGGCCCCTTCCCTCCCTTCCCAGGGGAAGTTCTCAGCTTGAAATCCAGCAGTGTCCACCCCTTCGTCATCTGAAATGCTGAGGAACCACCTCTTCAACAGGCAGAGACCAGTCCCTCAACCCACTCCTGCTTGGGCAGGAGAAGTATGGGGATGGATGAGACTTATGATGTTTCCAGTTTACATCTGTCTCAAGACCAAAATCCAAGTTCACCTTGCTTCTCGCCGCTCCCCATTATTGTCCTCTCCCTGTCTGCCTGGCCTCCTTGAGGGCAGGCAAGGTTTGATGGGCTATTTAACCATCCATTCACCAGGACTTCCTTGGTGGTTCAGTGGCTAAGAAAGAGTCCGTGCTCCCAATGCAGGGGGCCCAGGTTTGATCCCTGGTCAGGGAACTAGATTCCACATGCCACAACTGAAAAAAAAAAAAAGAAGAAAAGAAAAAAATCTCACCTGCCGCAATTGAAGATCCCTCAATGCTGCAATGATAATCTAAGATCCTGCATGCTGCAACTAAGACCTGGCGCAGCCAAAGAAATAATTAATTTTAAAAAGTTATTTGAAAAAAAAATCCACTCACCACTTCTAACCTCACTCCACAAGGATGGGCACAAACATGCCAACACACAGCTCTGGGACTGTGACCACAAGTGTGGAGAGCAGAGTAAAAGTGAAGACTATTTCCTCCATAAACCATACAAACAGGGGGTGGCAGTGCAAATGCTTTGGGCTCTAACGGATAAACGGGTCTAGGTGTGCAGCCTTCTGCTCCTCCAACACGTCCTGACATCTGTAGCCTTCTTTCTCCCCCACAAGTCCTCCTGGCCCCTGTCCTGCCTGATGAGGCACCTTGAAATGCTGCCTTGGCTCCCATCTTGAGTTGCGTCATCATCAATCCGATTCTATCACGCACACATGCAAAGCACAACTCTGTGCTTCATCACATGATAATAACAACTAATGTTTCCTGAACATTTACTGCATGCCAGTCACTGTGTTTTAGACATAGGTTATCTCATCACCCATCACAACCATCCTCCGAGGTGCTCTTATTATGAGAGTCCTCATTTTACTGAAGAGGAAACAGGCACAGAGAAGTCTATAGAGTAGCACCCTAACCCAGGTGGCCCAACACAGGGTCCTGCCCCTGGGCCTCAGCTGGTGCTATGGCACGGCTTTCACCCCCACAGAAGCAGGGACACCGTGATACTGATACATACTCCTGGCTCCTGCAGAGAACCTCAGGTGTGCTGGAGACGGAAGAAATACATGTCCACAGGGGCAAAGACTCTGGGCACTGACGCAGGCCTCACCATGCATGTAGGGAGGGCCTGATGCATTCAGGGAAGTCTCAGCTGCAACTTATCTACTCTGTCTCCTAGATATAGGGCCGAAGGGGTATGGATGGAAAACCAGCTCTTCCAAGAGTTTTCTGGATTTGGGGGAATATTTCCCATTCCCCACAAATGGCTCCTGCCCAAGTGACAGTAGCAACCACTGCCCATAAAGACAGGCTCCTCGGGACTTCCCTGGCAGTCCAGTGGTGAAGAGTCTGTGCTTCTAATGCAGGGGGCAGGGGTTCGATCCCTAGTCAGGGAACTAGGTCCCACATGCTGCACAGCCAAAAAAAAAAAAAAGAGAGAGAGACAGGCCTCTTTACTCTTTCTACTTTATAAAGTGGAAAATGAAAGACCTGGACAATTGTCTCTTTATATCCTAGGATCCTTTATGCTCTAGACACATGGGGATGATGGTTTCCAAACTGGGTGGGTGAAGAGCCCCTCATGGCTCCTGTCCTGGGAAGTGCCAAACTAAGCCATTTCCTCCTCACTGGGGAAAGTCTCCTTCACCACAGCGCAGTGGATGTTTATAAGGTGATTTCTACCTTTGGAGGGGCTAGAAGCCAGGCCAGGAAGTTGGCTCACCAATGTTGCGGTGAGGGAAGGTCCGAGCCCAAGGTCTTGTTGGGCAGAGCCGCTGCCTCGTGGAGAGGCCAGAGTGGGACCAGGGTGAGTCTGCCCTGACTGGAGAAAAGCCCTTTGTACCATCTGATATGAATGCCTATGCGAAAATAACTCAAAAGTTTTGAAAAGTCAAAGCCTTGTTTTAAAGAGTAAAACAATTCAGGACAACATGACTGTGACCTTGGGTTAGACTCAAGGGGAGGCCATAAATGAAACTGGGTTACTGCATTTCCCGTTCGTTTGTTGGTGTGTTAATGTATTTTGACTTTGTGTGTGTGTGTGTGTTTGTGTCCATATGTATCTGTGAGTGTGAGAGAGAGAAGAATATATGCTTCTCAAAAGTAGTGATTTTGCAATGACCTGGATTTCTTATAAATATGAAAGTCATGTATTCAGGGACTTCACAGAGACATCACTGGAGAGAAAGCAAACAATGCAGGCTGGTCCAAAGCATAGCGACCTGGAAAGCAGGGACTTGATTTGCTTCCTTATAGACAGAAAAACACAGATAATACAAGAAGGGGAAACTTTTAAAAAATAATAATAATTAAAATATGGAGGCATCTGTGTGCCCGCTTTCCTCTCTGAAACCACACATAAAGAATGGGGAGAAAGAGGACGGACAAGAAAGCCACATCATTGATAAAAAAAAAAAAAAAGAATAACCCAAATTCCAAACCATATTTTTTTAAAATGGTAGCCCAGGGACTGGTGGTCCAGTGGTTAAGACTCCGAGCTCCCAATGCAGGGAGCCTGGGTTCAATCCCTGTTCAGAAAACTGGATCCTGCACGCTATAGTGAAGACCCAGCACAGCCAAATAAATATTTTAAAAAGTGGCAGCCCAAGAGAATGAGTTTATATCAAATGATGTAGATGGAACAGGTATAGGAGGAAATGGGGCAGGAGGAATGTGCTTTAGAATTGGTGTGACTGTGGAATGGAAGAGGGCAGTATTTATCCCCAGCATCTGCCCTCACTGGCCTTGGGTTGCCCCATAAAATATTAATGGATACCCTCTATCTCTGCAAAAACCAGGCTCTAAGTGGGACAGAAGGTGAAAGTGTTAGTCGCTCAGTCACGTCCGACTCTTTGTGACCCCGTGGACTGTAGGGCAGAGGATTAAAAACAAACAAGCGGCCCTGCACTTGGTCATGACAGTCAGGTGAAGA